AAAAGCTCTAGGCAACTTCCGCTCCCAGCTCTGTTGACATTTCCGGAGCTAGACTGACCCTCCCCCATAGACAGCCGCACACCTGGACAGCAGGTATGAGGCACCTCTTGACAGGGGCTGTATAGCAGTGGGGCGTGACCATGCTCTTGAGTGAAGGGAGGCTTGGGAGGGGAACGGCAGATCTGCTTGGACAATTCCGGCCATGGCTCAGCAAGCTGGGGTCCTCAGCATGGTGGTCCCACCGAGCCAAAGAGGCAGAGAACAGAGGTCAGGGCGTGGATGTTTCTGGAAGCTGTGGGCAGGGCACCAGCGAGGGGTTATGAAGTTGGGGATGGCGTGTGATTGCAGAGCTTGAGCAGTGTCAGGGGACACAGTCCAGGCAGGACACAGTCCATCCAGTGGGCTGCCAAGAAGACATGCCTACGAGTAAGGGTGGCATCCTAAGGCAAGACCCACATTGGACTCCCCATAACCAACTGAACACGAGCCCTGATGGGATCCCTGGGGACAGTGTGGGAGGTGAATCTCTCTGAGTCAGGGGACTTGGGAACACCTAGGACTCCCCCAAACCCACCAACAATGTACGAAGTCAAGTACATACCAGTTTAGGGCAAAGAGAGAAATGGAGCTACCCACTAGGACGAAAATCAACACGCTCCAGAGGGAGAAAAGAGAACAGGGTGTCGCCACAATGTATCTTCATGAGGTACAAACACACACGCACCCCAAAACAGGAAAATGTGACCCTCGTAGAGAAGAAAGCAGCCAATAAGAACTAACTGCAAGATGACTAAGGGGCCAATTAAAGCATCACAAGGACACAAAAAGCATTAACCAAAAAAGTAAAAATTTTGATAAATTGACTTCACCAAAATTAAAATGTTCTGCACTTCAAAAACCATGGTAAAGAGAACTGAGACGGCAAATCATAGACTGGGAGAGAATATTCACAATGCACGTCTCTGCCCAAGGAATTTTATTCAGAACCTAGAGGACTCTTACAACTCAATCAAGATATACAACCCAGTAAAATATAGGCAAAGGATATGAGCTTACACTCCCCCAAAGGAGCAATCTGACCGGCCAAGGAACCCATGAAACGTAGCTTGTTATCATTAGTAATCACGGGGATGCAATTAAAACCACAGTGGGACACCGCTCACACTCCCTGCAGCACCTCATGTTAGAGGCGGGCGCTCCGAGTGTTGGCAAGGATACAGCTCACCTGGAATTCTCGTACATTGATGGGGGGCATGTGACATGGAGCTCCCACTTTGGAGTAATTTGGCAATCTAATAATTTTAAATATACTGTTACAATAGGCCCCAGAGAAAGGATAAAATTTGCCCACAGAAAGACTCAGACACGAGAGTTTATAGCCGAAGAAACCAGAACACACCCACAGGTCATCACAGGTGCACGGATAAACAATCCAGGGTGTGTGTGCAATAAAAGGGACAAAGTATGGACACACACAGCCTCATGCAATCTCGCTACTGTCATGCTGAGCAAAAGGGGGAGACCCAGAAGAACACAGGGGGTACATGGTTCCATGGGTGTGGCATTCCACAGAAGACAAATCTACAAGGCCTGACAATTAAGTTTGCGAACTCATCCTAGAAAAAGTGCTGCCTACCTCATCGCTGAATATCACCTTCGAAGTGCTCCCCTTGGGAAGCTATGCACTGATGCCAGCGCCTAGTCCACTCTTCAAAGCAATTTTGGAATTCTTTTTCTGGAATGGCCATCAGAGCTGTCATTGTATTACCCTTGATGTCCTGAATGTCATAAAATGTCTTCCTTACAATATTTCCTTTATTTTTGGGTAAAGAAAGAAGTCATTGGGGGCCAGATCAGGTGAGTAGGGAGGGTGTTCCAATACAGTTAATTTGTTTACTGGCTAAAACCTCCCTCACAGACAGTGCCGTGTGAGCTGGTGCATTGTCGTGATGTAAGAGCCATGAATTGTTGGTGAAAAGTTCAGGCCGTCTAACTTTTCCACGCAGCCTTCTCAGCACTTTCAAATAGTAAACTTCGTTCACTGTCTGTCCATTTGGTACAAATTCATAACAAATAATCCTTCTGATACCAAAAAAGGTTAGCAACAAGTTTGTGAACTTAATTGTCAGACCACGTAAACCGTAGCCACAGAAAGCAGGTCAGCTGTTACTTGTAGATAGGGAAGGACTGATCGATTGCAACACGTCAGGGAGGAACTTTCTGGAAGGGTCCCATATCCTGATAAAGGTGGTGATTGCCCAACTGTGTACACTTCTCAACTCATTGAGTTGTACTCTTGCATCGGTGGATTTTATTGTATGTAAGTTATACTTTCATAAAACTGATTTATTTTTAAGCCTGAGGCATTGGTGTCTTGTCTTCCCTCTTTGCCCAAATTCTTAGGTTCTATCAGTGGGCTTGGCCAGGGCTAGATTCCTGTTTGTGGGCAGAGGGGGCGAACATCAGACCAATGACAATGCAGTCGTGAAAGCCCCTGGCAGCTCTGTGTGGCAACAAGCCACCCCCACATCTCAAAGGCCTACAGCAGTGCAGGCTTGTGTCTCACACACTTTACGTGATCGCCACAAGTCTACTCCACGTTCTTCATGCCAGTCCAAGCTGAAGGCACGTCCCGGTGTGGGACACATGACTCTCATGGCAACGCTCAATGGCATGTAATGTTTCTACTCTAAAGGGCATCCGAGTGGCATGTTGGCTAAGAGCTGGCTTGGGACACCAGCTCTGAGCAGCAGGGCCCCGGTTCGGATCCCACATGAGGGCCAGTGACACTGCCCTGTATAGCTAAGATGGTGAACAACAGCTCAACCTGGAGCAGGGCTGCCCTGAGTCGCTGGCGATGGCATAGGCTGCAGCCCCTGCTGCAGTGGGCTGTCATAAGCTACCGTGTGTGGCCGGCAGCCAGTGTAAGCAGCTGGCAGCTGGTGTGTGCTGCCAAGAGCCACCGTGAGTGGCCATTCAGTGGCCGGTGACCGATCTGCCTCACCCGGGAAGAGGGCAATGATAATACCAACATGGGCCAGTGAAGCAAAGTCCTCCACAACTAGACTGAAGAACAAAAACAGCAATTTGTCTACCTGTCTGTTCCCCTTCCCCGATTTCCCAACACTGTTCCCCTCCCCCAATTCCCCAATAAAATCTTTAAAAATAAATAAATAAATAAATAAAGGGCATCCTCTCGTATTCCATCCGCTCAAGTAAGCACACGGCCAATCCTAGCAGCGCTGGGGGAAGCGCAGGCCCTCTCTGCAGGAGGAGGCACTGCCAAGTCACAAGGCAACAGTGGGGACATCCCATTCTTGTACGGGAAGGGGGAGCAATAGGTGGCAGCAAAAGTGCCATCTATCGCATCTCCTAATCAAGACACACACACACACACACACACACACACACACACACGACTCTTGCACAGAGCTTCACACCTTGCAAGGCCTTTTCATAACCACAAACCCCATTTGATGAGGTCAGTTACTTAAAGCTGAAGGATGATCTGTGATAGGAAGACCCTTGTAAGCTCTAATCATCGTCCAATCTCCCCCTCCCCCACCTGACCGGCACCTCCTCGGAGGCTTCTCGCCAGTGGTGGCCCCTCAGTCCCCATCCCCTGGGCTGCACCTCTGACTCGTCTTTCTCCCTGACCCTCCACACTGACTGTTCAGTGTGTCATGGAGGAACCCTTTCATCACAGGGACAGAACTCCAAGCTCAAAGCGGATTTAAAAACACAGGGGCGTTTTGGCCTCGGGCACAGCTTGATCCAGAAGCTCCAACCATAAGGCCAGTAACTGGGTTTTCTTTCTCTTTGTTTCCTAGCTCTGCCTCTTTAAGGTTGGCTCCATTCTCAGTGAATCGCACCCACCAGGTTTGTGCAGTGTACAACCTGCACATCTGTCCACGATAGCTGCCTACCTGTTGGGCTAATGTGGTCATGGAAGTGGATAGCAGGCCACTCCCATTGCTGGGCAACCAAACTCGTCAAAGGCAAAGACTCATTTAATAAGAAATGGCTGCATGTTTTTAGTGACCCACGTGAGGATGGGGAAAGAACCCCCCAAAAGGATGCGAGAGAACAGAGCCCCGACACACAAGGCTGGGAACTGTGCCTGACTCCAGCAGCCAGAAAGGAGGACCTCATAATTCTTGGGGCATCAGTTAAAATACTATGGAAGAGTTTGCCTCACTGGTGGGGTAAAATTAACCCCAGACAAGACATTGCTTTAGTCCCACCTGAAAAATCTTAAAAGGCCATAAAGGATCAGAATGTCCCCAGGAAACTTAACTGCATCCAAGAGCAAAGCTCAAGACTCCTTTTTTTGGAATACAAAAACATATAGCACCCAGCAAAGTAAAATGTGTAACATCAGCCATCCAATCCAAAATTATCAGCATGCAGAAGCAGCAGGAGGCCAGCCGAGTGGCGCGGTGGTTAAGAGCTGGCTTGGGACACCAGAGGGCCCCGGTTCGGATCCCACATATGAGGGCCAGTGACACTGCCCTCCACAGCTAAGATGCTGAACAACAGCTCAACCTGGAGCTGGGCTGCGGTGAGTCGCCGGCAACGTGTAGGCTGCAGCCCCTGTGGCAGTGGGTTGCCATGGGCTACTGTGTGTAGCCAGCAGCCGCCGCCGTGAGCGGCCACCCAGAAGCCAGCGACCAATCTACCTCTCCCAGGAAGAGCACATTGATGGTGCCAACTTGGGCCAGTGAAGCAATGTCCTCCACAACTAGACTGAAGAACAAAAGGACAGCAACTTGTCTGTTCCCCTTCCCCCAATTCCCCAATTAAAAAAAAAATCAGCAGGAAAATACAACCCCAAACGAGGAGAAAAATCTATCCGTGACGCTGACCCCAAAATGACAAAGATGATAGGATTATGAGACAAGAACATTATATCAAAACTGTACTCAGTAGAAAAGAGGCAGTCTTTTCAACAAACACTTCTGAAACACTAAATATTTATATGCAGAAAAAAAGAACTTCGGTCGACACATTACACCATATGTAACAAGGAACTCCAAATGGATCGCAAATCTAAAAGCAAAACTTAAAAGTATAAAACTTCTAGAAGAAACAAAGGAGAAAATCTTTGTGGCTTTGGGTTAGGCCAAGATTTTTGAGATACAACTCCCAAAGCATGCTCCATTAAAAAAAAAATTGATCACTTGGGTTTCATCAAAATGAAAAACCTCTGCTCTTTGAAATACGCTGTTGAGAGAATGAAAATTCAAGTCCAGACTGGGAGGAAATATGTGCAAATCACGTATCTGATAAAAGACTGGCACCCAGAATATACAAATCTACTTGCATTCAGAACATACAAAGCCAATAATAAGAACATAAACAGCCCAATAAAAACGGGCGAAAGATTTGAACAGACACGTCATTAAGGAAGATACAAGGATGACAAACAAGCACCTGAAATGATGCTCTGTATCACTGGTCGCTGGGAAACGGAAGTTCAGACTACAACACGATATGGTGCTGCGCCTCATAGGACGTCTAAAATTGGAAAGATTCAGAATGCCATGTGTTGGCAAGGGTTGTGAGAGGATTGTGTAGAACCTGGAACTCTCGTGCCCTGCTGGCACAACGTAAAATGGCCATTTCTTCAAACATCAAACGTTCACCCTTCCATGTCTCTCCATCACTTCACTCCCAGGCAGTACCTAAGAGACATGAAAGAGTATGATCATACAAAACCTTGTACACAAATGTTCAGCACAGTTCTATTTGCAACAGCCCAACCTTGAAACAACCCAACAACAGGTGAACTGCTAGAAGCGAACCATAGTACATCCACACAAAAATAAAAGGGATGAGCTATTGATACAAGCAACAACGTAAGTGAATCTCAAAATAATGATGCAAGGCAAAAGGACCCAGGCAAAATAAGAGTACATGTCTGCGATGCAATTTATATAAAATTGCAGAAAATGCGAACACTCCAGTGACAGAAGGCAGATTCGTGTTTTCTCAAAGCAGCACACCTTGGATCCGGGTCCGTGGCTCATTTGGAGTAAGGAGACCTGGGTTCCAGTCCCTGATCAGCCACTCAGAGCTGTGTGACTTGTGCCAAGTCACTTCCCTGCTCTGTGCCTCGGTTTCCTCCTCTATGGAGGATGGGGGTGGGGAAGAGGTGACAAACTGTGAGCTTCTAGCATTAGAACCTTCACCCGCTGGACTAAAGCAAGGTGCCTCTGCGTGGGAACAGACGCAGCGTCCCCTGGATTCCTGGATTCAGAGGACGCGGGGCCAGCCTGTGCTGCCAAGCCTGCCTGGGCACTTATCCTGGCCGCTTCTCAGCACATGCCTTCCCAGAAGCAAGTGTGGGAGGCAACAGCGGGACCTGCTGTCCCGGAGACAGGCACAGAGTGTCCCAGCAGTGCCCCTGGGGCTCAGGAGGTCAGCCCCAGAAGCTAGAAGTAGGTGACCAACTGTCCTGATCTGCCCAGGTGGAGGGCACTTCCCGGGATGAGAGGTGGGGGGTGGGGTTCAGTGATAAAAACCGACCAGGAAAGTCTAACAGAGCCACTACCCATGATGCCACTTTGTCTGCCCCCTCTGGCCACCTGTTCTTCACAAAGAAGACAGCAGCTTGTACTGAGCACCCAGGAAGCCGCTGCTCCTAAAAGTGGGACCTTCTCACTGACTTTTCCCTCCCACTTAAAAAATGGTTCCTTTTGGGGTGAAAAAAACCCAGTGCTGTCATCGATGTTGAGCTCTGCACCTTCTTCAACGCCACTGGGAACCCTCGGGCAGAACGCTCACATATCTTTAAAATAGTAATATTCTTTGACTCAACAATTCCTTTTCTAGGTGCTCCCACTGACATTACCAGACACGTGGGAAATCTGGATATACACTAAGTGATTTTTTTATGTAGTAAGAAATTGGCAACCACCTACACATGCATCATTGGGGAGTGAACGAATACGCCCACGTGATACTGCTGAGCAGTTCCAGCCCAACAGAGCGGGGAGGTGTGTGCAGTGTCCACAAGGTCCCATGATACGCTAGCGCCTAGACGAAGTTCCAGAAAAGTGAGTAGTCATTCCACTGACCGAAAACGGAGCGTTATCCCTGGGAGACTTGAAGAGAGGACTGAGGGTTTCCCGGGGTTCTCGCCGGAGGCAGGAGTGGCTGTCAGGCGGTTTTCACATTTCTCTCGTGTTTTCCTATACCGTTCAAAGTGTTGGGATGCGAACTGTTTCCATAACCAGAGTAAGTAGTCATGGCAGTTTATGGTTTACAATGTTTCTCTATACAGGTGCTCCCCGGGGACATGGTGGCAGCAGCAGATCTCAAACTCTGTCTCCTGATCTGAGGAAGATGGGCCAGTCCCAATCTGTCCCCTGGAAACAGGGGGCAAAGGAGCCTGATTTGGGTCTGGCAAGGCAAGAGTCTTTTGTCCCCAAACTTGGAAGTCAGCCCTGTCATAAATTTTGCTTTCTTGGAAAGTTTCTGGGGATCCTAGGAGACTGAGGAGGTTAGAGGTATAGAGAAGGACACTTTGGTTTGCAAAATACAGACGCCCCACTCGAACTCCCTGAGGTTGTTATATGGCCTGTGTAACTTGGAGGTTTGGGGGTTGACCGGCTGTCTTCAGGTACAGCTGGACCCAGGGGCTTAAACAAAGTCATCGTCACTTTCTCTTCTTCTTCACCTTTTCCCCTACCTTCTTCTTTCAGTTATTCTTGTCTCTGCTTCTCTTAGCACGTTATCCTTAGGCTTTCCATTGCAGACGGGTACCCTTCCTAAGCTAGGAGACATGGGGCAACCCCCGGCAGCTCTGTGAGTCTTGAGTCAAATGACAGCGCCCCCTGCTGGAAAGTCTCTAGGCTTGCCCCAGCCTGGGCCACATGTGCGTCCCTGTGGCCAGAGGACATGAGTTCTAGGATTGCCAGCCCCCTCCAAACCACACTGAGGGGGCTAGAAAGTGAAAGGGGGTGCTGCTGCCTGAAGAAGGAGGGGAATCCTGCTCCCCAGGAGAAAAAAAACCACAGAAGCCACGATCCACTACAGCTGTATTCTATAGACGCTAGTATTTGTCGGCACAGCCGGCACAGGCTCAGAGCTTTAAAGCTCTACGACTTCTAAGATTCCTGCTTAATCATGGGCATTCACAGGCCTTGGAGATCCTGATCCCCAAACAGTCCAGAAAGGGAGACAATACATTCTCCCTTTACTAGTAAGGAAACCGGGTAAGTCACCTCAGATTTACAATTCTGCAGTAAATAGCAGAATTGAGACTAGCAATCAAGGTCTCTGAGTTAAAATCTGCTCTGCTACTGGGCTCAGGCTGGGAGGCGTCAACACCATCTACCATCCATATCAACACCCCATCACCACCATCACCATGAGCAACAACCCACCACACCACCAGTATCGCCACCATCACCACCATCAACAGTAGCATTATGCCCACCACCAACAGCAACAACCCACCCTCACCATCAATAACAACATCACCACCACCACTAGCACCCATCCATCACCACCACCGCCATCACCACCATCGCCATAACAACGATGCAAACATCGCTACCACCATCTTGGCAACAGAGAGCCTAGTTCTTAGCCGAGGAACTGTGAGCCTGAGCCGAAAAGCAGAAGCTGGCTGAATCGGATTTTCCTTGGCAGCCGGGCCTGAGTCCAGCTCTCCCGTGGCCGGAACCCAGCGTTCCACTCACAGCTTTGCAATGCCTCTCGGAGATGGCTGAACCGGTCCCAAGGGCCTGTGACCGTTCTGGGGAGAAGTACTTGTGAGTCACTGGGGCTGACATTCTTTGGGACCTGACAAGGTTTCTACTTTGGGAGCCTACTAACTTTGACTCAGTGGCGATTCACCCAGAAAGCCGGCTGGAGAAGCTGGGAACAGGCCTCCTCATATGCAGTGTTAGGGCCACTGGCAGCCAGGTCGGGGCTGGGGCCATGCCTTCTGTCTTTTGTTGACTCTTTTATGGGGCTTGGGATGGAACTGGGGTTCAGAGAGATGACATGCTGCACCCCAAGGTTGCACAGTGATTAGCAGGAAGAGGCAAAACTTGAACCTAAACCTCGGTGACTCTAGAGCCCACAGATGCTGTTGCCCCATGCTGCTGCCATGCTGTCACCAGGTTGGCCTCTTGGCTCTGCCACTTGTTCAAGGGCCTGGGAGCCCTGTTCTGAATGGGATCACTATAGTTCTCACCCAACTTCCTGGGGACTGGCTGGGTGGTCCTGGGTGCTGCCAAAGGTGTACTCCATCAGAGGCTGCTGTGGGGGCAGTGACATGCCAAGAGTCCTCTCTGGGGTACCAAGTTCCCTCTTGAGTCTCCAGGGGATTGGGGGGGGGTGTCAGTCAGGGTTCCACCAGGAAAGAGATGACACAAGTTGGGAAAACAGCAGAGGGTAGGGAAACCATGAGGGGTGGACAGTACACCACATCCCAGGGCCACTGCCACCCTTACTTAGGCTGAAGGGATAGGGGAAGGCACCGTGGCCAGACCCTGCAGGGACAGGCTCTTGTAGAGAAGGCTGCCTAGGGGGAAGATGTGACCTTCAATCCAGGGACACAGCCTGCCCAAGGGGACCCCCAAGGGGAGATGCCGTGACATGACTATGGTGACCTCCCCCCCGCCCCTTACCTGTAGCCAGGGCTCACCATGACCAGATCCAACAGGAAGCCAGGTGACATGGAGCCCAGGAATGGGGTCTGTGGGGCTCAGCCCCTGGGGAAGACAGCAGGGTGGAGAGTGAACCTGGTGGGGCAAAGGACCGTGTACAGCACAGGGCATCTGGCCCTGTGGACCCACAGCACCTGGCCCTGGGGACCCACAGCACCTGGCCCTGGGGACCCACAGCGTCTGCCATGATGGGGGAACTCTTGGGACCCTGTTCAGGAAAGACAGAGGTATTGTCCGGGCGCTTTTATTGTGGCCTAGAGGCTCCTCCTTGACCTGGGCCTGGTTAGCATGACTGCTCAGACCCACCCAGGCCAGCCAACCAGCTCGCTCTCGCCTTCCTTTGCCCTCACTCACTCGCTCACTCATGCCCTCTGTTTCTCGCTGCCATTCGTCTCTGTCCCACTTGTGGACCTTTTCCCCTATGGCTTTCTCCAGTCCATGAAGCACCCCCATTGTGCTGAACCAGACCTACTTGTGTTGGTGTTGGAGAAGACAGACCAGACCAAAGTGACTGGAAAAGGCCTTTCGGGAGGCAGAACAGGTGAGCCTGGGCAGCATTGCCCGTGGAGACTCGGCCCCAGGAAAGGAGGGCACCCCCAGCCCAAGGGCACCCCTGCTCTGGCATCCACTGACAGGGCAATGATTTCCCCAGATAAGGGGCTTTCCTGGGACAGGGAGGTGCATGGTGAGAGGGAGAAATGTCCTTGGTTTGGGGAATCCTGGAATGTGGCTGAGGCCAGAAGTTGAACTGTCACAGGAAGCAGAGGTGTCTGTTGGAGTTTGCCTACCACAAATGGGGGCACATCGGGAAGGGGAGCTAAGCGGCCAAAGGGACCTCCCTGTGTGAAGCAGGTGGGAGGGTCAGGACAACCACCCAATCTCAGGTCTTCCAGTGGGTCCGGGGTCCTCAGGAGACAGGTGGCCCTGGATACACCACCTGGGGACCAATGTGCACACAACCCCATCTGAGGCACCCCCTCAACTTTGGGGGTGTTCACTGTTCCTGCAAAGAGCTCCGTCGCTCTCCCTGTGGGAGGCCATCAGGGGCCAGAGCCACCAGAATCATCGCCAGTGGTGACCAACCTGTAGAAACATGCTCTCCCTCTCCAGGGCTTGCATCTCTGTCAGGAAACCCCCAGACTCCGCCTCCAGCATCATGGCGCACTGGTCCCTCAGCAGCCCAGGGCATCAACTCCTTCACCGACCGTGATGGGGCACGTCCCGCGGCCAGGCTCTGGGGAGACAGAGTAAACCTGCCACCCCTCCTGCTTCTGAGGAGCTCAGCGCCTGCTCTGAGGCAGAAAACGCAGACACCGCATTTGCCTGAAGAAAAAGCCTCTATTTCAGGCTTGGAAGATCAGGGAAGTTCCCTCAGGGAAGGTGACATGAGCAAGATCTGAAGATTGTTCAGCAAAATTCCCAGAGGACGGCATCCAGTGACCCACCCAGCGAGGGCTCTGAGAAAAGAGGTGATGATGTCACCTGGGAGCTGCAAATAGAGCCACAAGGCAGGAACGTGGGGGAGTTCCTGTCAATAAAAGGAGGCTTGGACACAGGTGGGGGCAGATCTCAAGAGTGGCCCGTCAGGGCTACAGCAGGGTTTTCTGGAAGGCAGTGCAAGGCCAGGTGCATATTGTAGATTGAGTAGGGCCTCTCGGGCTGCTGGGTGGAAAAGAGCCGGAGTGGAGGCTGCAAGGCCAGTGAGCAGGCTGTCAGCGTGGCCGGGGCCAGCGAGAACACACGGTGGCCTGACTCGGGCAGTGGGAGTGGAGAAGGAAATTTCAAGAGCTCCACCAAATGTCAAAGGAGCTGATTTTGTTGATGGACCCCCCCACCCCACCCCCCCATAGGAAGTGACAGAGACGGTGGCACCACAGATGACCCTCAGGACTCTGTTTTGGAGACATGGGCAGGTTGTAGTGAAGAACATAGGAGGGGAAGGTTTGGGGTGAGACAATGCGTTCTCACTTCTGGTCATGGCACAGTACCTGTAACTGGATCAAACCCTCTGTCACAAACAATCATAAAACTGCACAGAATATATGAAACCACCATTTTCGACACTGTGTCGTAGGCAGAGGAAGACCATGATTCCCAAGAAAAGAGAAAACCTAAGACAAGCCCTGTGATCTCCCTGGATCTGTGCTTGGGGACACTTCCCTGATCGTGGCGCAGTGAGCGGGCTCCGGGTAGAACTCAGTGGTCCCACTGAACCGACGGGGCGGAGATGAGAGTTGGGGATTTCTGAAGCAGCTAGAATCTGCAGGGCTGGAAGCAAAGGAACAGGGAGGTGCACAGGGGAGGGGAAGCAGTTCATGTGAGGGTCCCTGGGTGTTGGTGACACCAGCTGAGGTGTAATAGGCTATCTCAATCCCTAAGGGTTTCAGAGTGGAGCGAAGATGTGGATGTCAAGCAGTGCCGGGGGGCTTGGGTTCTTGCCCAACCAGAGTGAAGAGACTTCATCAACACCAGGCATCTAGCTGTGACACCCCAAAGGCCTCACCTTAGTAATAAAGGCCACACCTTAGAGTAAAGCCTCCTGTAGACCTTCCGTAACAAAGCCTAAAACCAAGCCTCAACAAGATTTGCAGTTCAGTGCCTGTTTCTCACCAAGTTAGAGAAGTGTGGGAGGCACTCTGGCTTTTCACAGATCTTGCCATCACAAATAAGAAAGCCAAGACCACAACATTCAAGTAATCAGTCAGTAATTGAACTAAATTGATAGAACAAAATTCAACCCTTTTCAGAGAACGATACCTGACTCCAGAATTCCTACAACTTATCGTCCATATTGTCCAACAATGACTAAATGCACAAAGAAACGGGAAAATATGACTCGTAGTCAAGAAAGAAAAACAATGGTCAATAAAAATCAATCCTGAGATGGCCCAGATAATAAATAGATTTAGCAAACAAATCTTTCAAAGCAGCTCTTATAACTGTCTTCCAAAAATTCAAGAAAAATATACTGGAAGAATTAATGGAAAATATAGTCTTAGTAAGGGAACAGATAAGGAATCTAGGCACGGACATGGAAACTAATAAAGAACCAAATGGAAGGGCCGGCCGAGTGGCTCAGTTGGTTAAGAGTTTGCTTAAGAGCATGAGCTCTGAGCAACAGGGTCGCTGGT